ACTGTGATGTCAAAGAACAGCACTCTGTAATCAAGCATAAACATACATGTCCAATGAAGTGCTAAAGAGTTCAGTTGTAAAGAAAAATATCAGACCTGTGACTGAGGGCATGATTAATCCCTTTACGCTTTGGGTATAGTTTCGCTCCGGCTTTCCACTTTGGGTATAGTTTTGCTCTCCCTTTCCACATTGGGTATAGCTTCGCTCCCGCATTCCTCCTTCCGTTGCTGCTCCAGCATTTTCTTATTCTTCTCCAAGGCAGCAGCAACTTCTTGCGGCATATACTTCTCATTGTGCTTAGCCAGCTCTGAATCGGATACTTACAGTTCTCTGTTCGTAAAATTGATGCTTCCTACCCTCTCCTCCGGTAAACCCTCCGCTCAGTCCCGACTCCAACCCATCCCTCCACCCATAAATGTCAATTGCACCCGGCAAATTTAGTTGACTTTAAAGTAAAAAATTTTGACTTTAAAGTCAACTAAACTTGCGGGGTGCAATTGTCATGGTGGGAGATGGGTTAGGGTCAGAACTCGGTGAGGAGGTTTACCAAGATGGTTAGGGGGGTAGGAATCATCAATTTTACGAATGGAGCATTGAAGAGTGGCAGTGGCTTTCGTGGCCACTCAAAATGAGTGGCCATTGAACATAGCCGATTTAAATAATGAAAATTGAAGTATATCCATTAATACATTAATGTGTGTTGCCATGCCATTATAAATTATATAGACTCTCCATAAAAATAGACAACCTTAGTTTAAGTGATAAATACGGAGTAAAAGATTTGTACATTAAATTAGCTGTACTTATATTTGAAATATATTTTTTCTTAAAAAGACATCAACCAATGAGCTATTAAGTTTGACTGAATTTAAGTTTAATTCATTTTGAACTTGATCAATATTGGGTCTAATAGATTTTGGATTTAATCGATTCGGGACTAACTAGTTCGGGTTCAATCAGATCCGGATCTAAATCAAGTCTGAATACATTCAGCTCAGTTTTGGTTCGGTTTAGATCATTTCGAGTGTTCGGGTGTAATTCGATTCTTCAATTTTTGGGTCATTTGAGATTCGATTCGGGTTATCAGATCCAGGTCTATTTTGCCCGGCCTACATAAGACATAAAATCCTCCATGGACTCTTGCATAACGTGTTCTAAGGGGGTCAAGCTAAACCATTTCATTTTTCATGTGCAGTATCTATGTTTGTTCTCAAGTTCTATTCACTTGCTGTATTCAACCTCCTCTCTTCCTATATCTAGTACTCATCCACCAGCACTGTAAATGAAAAAGGTAAAATCAAGCCTGCTACCATATAAAGAACCAAGCAATTTCATCTTTCAGTCCAACGCAATCTTTTCCAATAAATTCCGGGACAAGAGGGGCGGGAAAGGATTTCCATGAACACTAATATCGTCTATGGTCAAGAGATCGGCGTTTTGGCATTACCCTTACAGTAGCATGTGCCTTACAAAGCAGCACTAATTGCCTTCAATGCTCAATCAGGATGTCCCAAAGGCCATTCATTCCCAACAAATCACGTCCTTACAAATTGTACATTACAACACTAACATAAAATAATTTTCACCAGATCTATAAATAATGATTATCGCCATTGATGTATATATAGTGAGTATTTCTCTATACTTAGAAGTTGGTCAAAACTACTTGCATGTTTTTTTAATTTATAAATCAGTTAGATGACTTGTTAGCTAATAAGCTTATAACTATTAAATAAAAAATAAACAACTCTTATCTACTTATTTTAAGCTCGATTTTATTTCTCCGTTTTGACCAAATTATTTACAAAACAATCCTTAACCTTATCTCACCTCTCTTTGTATTAGTAATGGTGTATGTGACAAGAACATTCCATTATTATGCCAATCAACATGGGTTCATATACTATCCTATATAGTAATGGAGTATCTAACAAAACATTCCATTACTACATAGGATGGCATCTGAATCCCTGCTGAGTGGCATAATAATGGAATGTTCTTGACCAAATTATTTACAAAACAATCTATAACCTTATCTCACCTCTTTGTATTAGTAATGGAGTATCTGACAAGAAGATTCCATTATTATGCCACTCAGCATGATTTAGATACCATCCTCCTCTTTGCTCTGAATTAGAGCTGATTTATCTGATATTCACAGATGACCTAAATGTAGTTAACAAAGGGGATCAAAAATCAGTGAAAATGTGAAATGCATCACGAAGGCTCTCTATCACTTTCAACAGACTACCAGACTTCAAATTAACCAGGATAAATCTCAAGCGGTCTTTGTAGGAGGAACATATGAAATGCAGACAGAGATCCTACAAATCATTGGGATGACTTAAGGTACTTTGCCTTTAACTTAATTGGGAGGACCTATTACTTCCTCTAGACTCAATGTTAAAGACTGTGATGCATTAGTAAACAAGATTACTAAAAGACTCTAATGGACATCATAACTTTTTTGGTCTAGAATATTTGTCATGCCTAGTACAAGTTTTGAAGAAAATTCAAGCCTTATGTAAAAACTATCTTTGGGGAGGTTCCTCTGAGTATAAAAAGATTCCTCTGGTGCAGTGGGAAGAGGTCAGTACCCCAAAGAAAAATAGGGGTCTCGGGTTGAAAAATATAGTCCAATGGAATAAGGCAAATATAATGAAACTAAACTAGGATATTGCTGATAAAAGGATGTCCTTTGGGTAGAATGGATTCATAGTAGTTACATCAAAAATTCATCCTTTGGGGATTATATACCTAAAAATGATTGTTGCTTTTAATAGACGAAGATAATAAAGTTTAGGGAAATCTTTAGAAACAAGCCATGAAATTAGCCTTATACTGTCAACAAAGGATATGAGTGGAGAGAGGGCCATAGAGACATCCTATTTGGGTGATTTGGGTTTTGGAACAGATACTCCCTCCCTAAGCACCAACTCATACTATGGTTAATACTTAGGGAGAGACTACTTACAAGATGCAGGTTGAAAAAATTTATAAATATTGATACTAGATGGGGGCTTTGTAATCAAAAGGAAGAAAATTTTAACCATATTTTTTGGAATTGCCCCATAGCCAACAGAATGCATCAACAGATTTTTGCTTGGCTTCACTATAAGATTGATGCTAATGACATTGAAGGAGTTGAAAAGGGGCTTATGAATGTGAAACCTGTTGATCAATTCTTAAACATAAAATATAAATTAGGGATTTAATCATGTGTACCTGATAATCCTGTAAACGTGGTTAGGGATGAGGCCATGATTCTCACGCAGATCGAGTTCCCGTTTAGGGTGTATCGTTATGATGGCTAAGGTGAGGAAGACTCACGAGAATAGAGAGGCAGAGAGGAGGCGTAAGATTGGTGTGTTCTGATCTCTGCCTAATGACCTCTATATATACACCCAAGGGGAAACCCTAATTAGGTCATAAGGGCAATTACGTCCATGGAATAATTACCAAATAAATACGTAGGGTATTTATTTGGTCAATGATCAATTAATTAGATAAATGATAACTTAGGCCACATAATAAAATCGTGTCTAACATTCTCCCACTTGGCCGAGTAATCATTTATGATGAGTATTAGATAAGTCTGATCAGATTTTAATACTCATTTTAGTTCTAAACCGAAATTGTAGCAGAGAAATACAGTCATTGAATCAATATTCAATTCAAGACCCCCATTAATCATACTACAATACCAAATTTAAAACTTAAATAAGCTAAGGATCAAATTGA